TTGGTGCAATTTTTTTTTTTTTTTTTTTTTTTGGCACCAGGGATTGAACTCGGGATCTTGAGCTTGAGCTTGAGAGGCAGGTGATGGCACCACTGAGCTAAATCCCTGGCCCTGGCAGCAATTTCTTTTTAAATTATATTATTATACTGTTAGTGTTGTGTAAAAAATGTTCCTGACTTTCACCTTTTGTGCTTTCAATGTGAGAAGTATTTCTGAGCATTTCTTTAAGGAAAGGCTTTTGCCAGTGTCACTTTCTCTGGGACACCTTCATCCTTTTCATCATCCTATCTTCATTTCTGTCCATAAATTCACCTTCACAGAATTTCTCAGGCTCCATGCCAAGTTTCTTGACTTGTGGCAATGTCCACATTATTCCTTCTATAATTCTATTGATAGGTGATTCAAATTTCACCTTTAACCTCACCACTTTACAGTTTTCTGCTGCACTTTTATTTTTGGTGAGCATTTCCCTGAGTATCCATTTTGTAAAATATTGCATGAGTTTATCACTGGGAGAAGGGGGCAATGTGTCTATATGTTTTACTATGTGTGAATTTAATAATAAATGTACAATGATCAGTAATGCACAGACTTTGAAAGTAATGTGCTTGGTCACTGTTCACAGTGCTTATCTGTTTTCTATGCACCGATTTGTGGGCTGTGCACTTTATTCAGTCCCTCACAGTTAATATATTCTAGTAATTAAAATCTGAACCAAACTGTTGGGGGGCTGGTTTTTAAATTAAATCATGTAGCTAAAATGTGTGAATATTTGAACTGTGCAAATTGGAACTGGCTATACTGAATTGGCAGTATTGCTTATACTTACAAAATTCAGATCAACATCAAAATGTACACTGCGCTCTGGATGGTAAAAGTAAACCTTCTAAAGGTATCTCTCCCACAATTCCAGCCTTTAACCTCCGTCCTCATCACATATATCACAGAAAAAGAAGGAAAGCAATAATTTGCCCTCACTCTCACCCTCTCAACCCTTTACTTTGGGGTCAAATTTGTCTAAATTCAACCAGTTAGGGTTTGTCACTTGCCCTGAGGGCCAGGTTTTCTGGGAAGAGGAACTTTTAGGGCACCAGGATTATTTTGATTCCAAGGGCGACATCTACAGGCAGAGAAGCGTAGCTGCGGCGCTACCTCCAGTGTCTGCATCGTTCTTTCTGCTGCCTGCTGTGGTTCTCTTTTTCAGGTGACCCGTGATGCCAGGGTACGGTTGTTAAGGGGTGAAATTTCCCCTCCATCTCCGATTCCTCCTGCACGTGTCCGACTGCATTCCAGTCCGACTAAGCCCTCCAATGTAAAAGTCGTCAGCAGGAAATTTGGTTGGGCTACCACGACTTAGTCCGGAGTCCAAAACTAAGCCTGCCAAGGGGAGTCCTCACCATTTTCACCAGGGCGCAAGGTTAGACAGTGACAATAAAGTCCTGCCCTTGTCCTCTACTCTAAACTGACCCGACCAGGTTAGAGCTTGCAGGACAACGTGGGCCACGCTCATCTTCCAGGACTGAGAGCTGTGGGTCGGTCTGGAAAGCAAGGATAATGGCCCTAATCTCTAAATCCGCCCCGCCCCCCGCATTGCCTTCTTTCCTCCTCTTCCATCTTCTAAGAGGTTCCTGAGGTTTATTTCCCCACTAAAATGGCTCTAGCTTTTCTCTTTCTCATTTACCTAACCCTAGCAACTCTTATGGAATTTGATCTTTTTTTTTTTAATCAACAGTCTTGCTTTTGCTTTCTCTTTGCGACAGTTGCAGCTGCCTGCAAATACCCAAGGAATTCGGCCCAGAGCCAAAAACTCATCATTCTCCTTGATAACCCCTCTGCTCAACTAAGGGATTTTCCTACTTGACAAGCTGTTTCCAGATGGTGCAGCCTCGAGCTCAGAAGAAGCTGCTCTGCACCTATTTGGTTCCAGAATGGGGAGGATGCCCCCTCCACAGTGGTCAGTACAGCAATTCATCCTACAGCAGCAGGCCCTGTAATTGGTTGATCTTAATTTATTGAGTCCCTATCAGAGATGCTTTTCTTTCAGAGGATGTCTGTTTGCCTCTGTCCAGAATTAGGTGGCATTACTGACTGTGACCACCCACAGCTCCAGTCGGCCTGGTTTAATCCAGAAGACCCAGGTTCAGCTAACCGAAATATTGATGTTTCATGTTTCCATACTCCCTTTCTTCTATCATCTTACTGTATTCACTCTCCTTGAGTGACTTCACTTATTACAAGAATTTAATAACCATTTAAATGTTAATGACTCTTAAATCTGAGTGTTTAGCTCAAATGACTTTTCTAAGCTCTGGAACCATTCAGCCAACTGAGCATAACCATTTGGATGTCTTCCAGGTCGCTCAAATTCTGCCTGTCTGAAACAGAACTCATCTTTCCTCTTTTCCCAGAATTATTCCTTCTCATATTCCTGACTCCAGTGATGTACACTCAATACACCAGCAGTAATTCTTGTCTTCTACTTCTCTTTAATATGTCAATTCTACCATCTAACTATCTCTCCAACCTGTGTATTTCTCTTCATTTCTTCTTCCTGGTGTTAGATTAGCTAATAGATAGCTTCATTGCATGATTAAGTATGATTAAGTTATTATTAGAGTATACGGTTCTAGAGAGATCTCAGATGCCTATCTCATGGGCCAAGATGCTTGGCTATTTGTCTTGTAAGAATTGTACCTTTATCTAAAAAAAAAACTTGGTAAAAAACACCAGAAGGTCATAATATTGAAAGATCTGTACAGTTGTGTTCCCAAGAAACAATTGGTGTAAGCAGGGGAAATTAAAACATCTGTTTATTAAAATTATTTTATCTTGCTTGCTCATAGGAATTTTTACATACTTGTTATTGTCATATTTCTGATAAATAGTAGAGGAAGACAGATAATAAAGCAAAAATTATACTTAGACATCCTTACTGTCACTCCTTTCGGATGTAAAAGAGAGGCATTAATTTGCACCACTCACCATCTCGGGCAATGACGACCAGATAATATCTACAGAAATTATTCATAGAGATCCTTTCATCAGTTATTTATAAGAGGAGAGCCATTAGCTGTTAAAGTTAAAAAAGAATTCTAGAAAAGAAAATTTACTAGAGAATTGAGAAACCATTGTGTAGGTAATATCTGATTATTAGTAAATAAAAATGTTTCTTAACATTCTGAGTCTTCAAACCAGATAATTAACCTATTCCATAATAAAGAGGAAAAAGTCTCCCTTAATCTTTGACCAATAATTTCTCTTAGACACTGAGAATCAACGAAGAAAACATGGAAAGAATGTAATATTTGATATATCATAAAAGATTATATTCAACAAATATCAAATTTTCTTACAATTATTTTTATGAATTAATATAGTTTTATTTGAAATACACATAGGAGAAAGTTGAATATATTATAATCCTTGAAATATTTGAGTCTTTAATCTGACCCTATTTCTGCCATTTTGTTTGAATTCCTTATAAATTCTCAATCAGTTTGCTGAATAAGAGATTTAAAAGTGTTTCCAAATTCTACCTGTTTCCATATTCTCAATACTGCCACCACTGTCATCTTTTCAAGACTGTAAAAATCAAACTTAAAATCCTTCAATAATACCCCATGATTTTCTGGATCAAAGCTAGACTCTTTATCATTCATAAATGAATAAAATACCCAGGGTACACTTATCTTTCCAACTTGTTTTTGACACTTTTTTCTAGCTGTCTTCCATTTCTTCTCTCTACCTTAGATCCAAACCCCTACAGCTCTTCTAGTGTTTTCACCTCTATGACAGTGATGGCAAGCCTTTTAGAGATGAATGCTCAAATAGTGACCCCAAACCCACTTGTTTACTGCAAAGTTTCAATGCTGTAATTAACCTGAATACTGAGGTTTTAGTTTAGGAAAAAAAAAAAAACTCATACATGAACATCTTTTGTCTTAAAAGAAAAACAACATGTGTGTCACAGATTCGCCACCACTGTTCTATGAAGTCTTCCATGATCTATGTAAAGTCTACATCCTAGTATTAGTATTTTCATGCCAGTTTCCTAATCCCCACAGAGTGACAAATCAAAGACCAGGCAACGCCAGCATATGCAGTGGGTTTTGTTCCAAGAGAGGAAATCCTAAGCTTCAAGGGCCTGAATCTTTTAAAATGGGCAATAAATATGCTTGCTCCTTGATTCTGAGAAAGACATTATCTTTACTACTAGAAATAATTCATGCCTGCTCTTTTGCCCTAGAGGAGACACTATACCTTCTAAAGCTATTTGCTAGATAAACATCCTGGAAGATATAGTTCAGAAAAAAAGGGGGGGGCTTTCAGTACCTCAGTCATAAGACATGCAGATATCTAAGAAAACCCAAGAACAGTGCCTTGCAACAATACCTTGAAGGTAGATCTGGTTCTAATGATGGGTCTATGAAGTATTTAACAAAAAGAGAAACAAGACTTCACAATTTTGGCCTTAGTTACCAGAAAAAATTAGTGAAAATTAATGAAATGTAAGATTATGGGAGTATGAGGACAAGAATTAACATTTGGTTCTGGTTGGGTTAATTAATCAGTAAAATAATGATCACAATAATACTTATTTTATATTTGCCATGTGCTTCACACTATATTAAATGCATCATATATATAAATTCACTCACTAAATATTAACTAAGCACTCTGTATGTGCTACTCACTGTTCTAGGAACTAGAGATTCTGTATTGAACTAAACCAACACAAATCCCTACCTTTTATTTTGGTCCTTGCATTCTAATGGAGGGTAGTCAGGCCACTGAGGAAGTTCAAGGTGGGTGGAGATCATCTTTTCCTGGAGATAGAGATATCAAGCTTATGAGTAGGTATTATATTCACACACACACACACACACACACACACACACACACACATACACACACACACATGCACACACTTTACAGGTAAGGAACCAAGGCTTAAAAAATAAACACGCCTAAAGTTACACTTAACAAGTGTTGAAGGTAAAATAGTAATCCAGGTCTGTTGATGTCTCGATGCTGTGCTTTATTATTTATCTTTTGAACAATAAAGAATTCATGAATATTCATTCATAGAAGTGAATACTGTAATATTGTTAGCTGTCCAATAAATTTTGATTAAATATGCAATATTGAAAGTTAAAAAGATGTTATGTAAAAAATTGATCTGGCTGTAGCAGTGGAAAAGTTAGCTGAATTGTTTTTTCAGCTTAATACTGATTTAATTTCTCCATGATATTAAATTTTATTATATTTCACTACATAAATCACTTTCTAATATAGTTTTACTACATTTAGTTATTACTTTATTTTGTGATATAAGGTTTTAAAATCTATTTCATTTAAATAAATAAAGTAACTTTGAGTTGAAACAAACTTTAAAATATTTGTCCTATTCAATGTAAGGCTTCTAATAAATGTTACTATCTCTTAGGGAGTATGAAGTATTAAAACCTATGGACCTGCAATCAAAACCCAAGACTTAGAGCTATTTTAAATCATTTATTAAACAAAGAAAACATTTTTTAAAACGGAGCTATCTTCAGTGAAATTCTGAAATAATGTTATATGGAACATAAGAAAACACTATTTTAGCTAAATAAAATATAAAGAAGACAGGAAAATAACTGTGGAAAAGGGATTATCCAAAAATTTATTCAACTACTCACTCATTCATAGATTTTTATATTAATTGTTATGTATTGAGGCTTGGTGTTTCTTCATATTGTGTCTTCACTAGACTCCAAGTTTAAGGAGGACAGTTACAATGTCTCTCTTGGTTGCACTGTATCCATGGCATCCCAGCATGGTAAGCCCTCAATAAACTAACAAATCTGAATTTTTTTAGTACAGTTGTGCCCAAAAAACACAAGTATAATAGAAGGGTCACCAACCTGCAGACCACAGACGAGGGTGCACAGCAGGAGGTGAACAGCCAGTGATCAAATGAGGTTTCATCTATATTTGCAGCTGTTCCCCATCAGTTACATTACCACCTGAGCTCTGTCTTCTGGCAGATCAGTGGCAGTGTTATATTCTTATAGGAGTGTGAACTCTACTGTGAACTGTGTATGTTAGGGGTCTAGGTTGTATGCTCCTCATGATAATCTAATGCATGATGATCTGAGATGGAGCTGAGGTGGTGATGTTAGCACTGAGGAGTGGCTACAAATATTTATTAACATTAGCAGAGAGGTCTGACAGCACATAGACCATTACAAACCAATTGCTTGTAAACTTGTAGCAACCCCCATCAGTGAGTGGAATGTGATAAGCTGCCATTTGGTGGTAGGCTTCAAGTCAGAATCCAACACTTATTTTAGCCCATGAATGACCTGTCCATTGTATTTACCACTTTTGTCTGTGCTTCTTTTCCCCATTTTGTAGTTAGTCAGTTTTGGCAAGACCACAAGCTAACTCTAGTCAAAATGAGAGGAAAAAAAACCCCACAGAACAAACAAACAAAAAACTCAAACATCACTGGAGAACTCCTTTAAAAGGGGGGAAAGACTCAATTATAAGATGCAGATGACTCTAAACTGCCAACAGAAAGAAAGCTGCATTTAAAAGAAAATAGCAGGTTCATTGCAATAGGTGATCCACATTCTCCAAGCTCATTTTGTATAACATGTGGCAACCAGCTCTCCAATGAAGCTATGAAATCTTTAAAACTGTTTTGCCAAATGAACACCAAGCACACTAAATTAAAAGACAAGCCTTTTGAGTCTTTAAAAATAAAAAAATCAACACAAGGAACAGAAGCAATTATAGAAGGCTACCACTTCATCAAATGTGCCTGTGCTCAGCATATCATTCTTAGTGGCCAACTACATTATTAAAGCTAAGAATCCCTTTACTACTGGTGAACAGTTAATCCTGCCTGATGCTAAGAACATTTGTCATGAAGTTTTAGGAAAGGCAACAGTTCAAATGGTGGCATGAGTTTGTCTTTCAGTTGGTGCCATAACTAAACAAATTGATGAAGTAGCAGAAGATATTGAGGCATAATTGTTAAAGAGAATTATGAGTCATTGTGGTTCAAAATACAGGTTGAAGAGTCTACTTATAGTGACAACAAAGCAACAATGCTCCTTTTTGTGTAATAGTTGTTCAGAAGGATGTGCATGAGGCCTTGCCAACCAACATCACAGATGCAGAGCTTTTCAAGACTTTGATTACAAACCATGAAAACTGAATTGGTCATTTTGTGTTGGTGTATACACAAAGCAACTACTATGGGCAGCTTTCTGGTTTTACTACTTGGGTCAAAAAGGATGCTTCTGATTGAGTCTACACCTGATTGTGTCAGCCAAAGAGTGTCACCTGACCTTAGCAATGTTTTGCAGGATGTGATTAAAATTATCAACCACATTAAAGTGCATGCCCTTAACTCAACTGTTTGCACAGTTCTGTGAGATGGATGCTGAGCACATGTCTTCTCTTATACATGAGATAACTTTCTAAAGGTAGATAATTGGCCAGAGTTTTTGAGTTATGAAAGCCATACTTGAGATTTTAGAAAAAAAGTCACCCTGGCAGCACACTTCGGTGAAATGGAATAGGTTGTAAAACTTTCCTACTCTGATATTCAACCTCATCAACAAACTCAATCTATCATTTCAAGGGAGAAAGACAACTGTGTTCAAGTCAGCAGATAGAGTGGATGCATTCACAGCCAAACTGTAATTATAGAGCAGTGAACAAACATTGGGATTTTTTATATGTTTCAAACATTAGCAAAGATTTTGAAAGAGACTGAGCCAGGGTCTTCTTTCTCCCAGTTGGTGCATGACCACCTACCTTTCAAGAGTTTCAGCATTACTTTCTAACCAAAAAGACCCTCAAACTTGAAGAAAGTAATCTGTGATCCATTTGTGAATAAACCAGGTAAATCAACTTTGTACTAGGAGGATAGACTGCTTGAGACTGCAAGTGATTGTGGCCTTAAAAATATTTTTGAGGCAACTTCAGATCTCCATATATTCAAGATTAAAGTCAAGATGAATGCCACAAAAGCACTAAAAAGTCTGCTTCCCTTTGCAATATCCTATCTTTGTGAAGCAGGGTTTCTGCATGACAGCAACCAAAATAAGAATACAGAGTAGACTGGACACAGGCAACTCACTCCAAGGGTCACTGTCTCCCAGCACCCCCAGTAGGGACTGTCTAGTTGCAGAAAAACATGCTCAGAGCTCCCACTGATTATGCTTCATGGTGAGTTATACAACTATTTCATTATATACTGCAATGTAATGATAGAAATACAATGCAAAATAAATGAAATGAGCTTAAATCACCCCTTCCCTCATTCTGTGGAAAAATTGTCTTCCACAAAATTGGTAACTGGAACCAAAAGTTTGAGGACTATTGTGATATAAGTATAAGAACATAGGTGCTACATAAATGTAAATAATCATTACTATGGGACTTTAGAGAATTTTGTTGAGAAACTAGATGGATTTCACAGAATTTGAGCTCAAACCAAAATGACAGGTATCTCAGTTTGTTCCCTGGAAGATACAGTCTGAGTCAGTGCTGAAAAGTGCTTATTGTAAAAGGTTCCAATCAAGAGCATTCGTTCATTTCTATCTCCATTAAAATTCCCCATGTTTATCTATACTCTGCATTTTACTCATATTCATTCGCTTACTAAAATTATTTTAAATCCCACATCTGATGCTTCAAATACCTGAATCATCTGAAAAATACTGGTAATATACTTGTTTTTTGACAATGGCTTTTTTCTCACTTTATAGCATGTTTCATAAGTTTTTTATTGAATGATATATATCATGAATAGAAAAGTACAGATATGGGGATATATCTTTATCTCTGAAAATGCCCCTTCTGCTGTATTGTGAGAGATCAAATAGATGTAGGTGGGATTGAGTTGGGTATGGGGTTCATAATTGCTTTCATTACTTTTAGTTTCAAATTCCTGTACAGCTTCTTTATGCTGAGAATGCGGGAATGTGTCGTGATGCTTGTTGCCTAAGGGTACAAGCAAGGCTTCCTTCATTTCCCAAATTTCAACACTTTCCAACATTCATTTTTAAAAGAAACTATACACTAAAAAGGGTACCATTTAGATGGAAATGTCCCCCAAAATTCTCATGCATGTGAAAAGTGATTTGATCATGTGAATGCTGTACTCATCAGTGGATTTATCCATTGACGAATTCAATACCTGATTGTGATGTTAGGAAGAGGACCCTGGTTGGAGTGGGTGGGTCCCTGGCAGTGTGATCTGACAAGGTATATCACCCTCCTCAACTCTTCCCTTCTCTCTCTGCTTCCTGGCCTCTGCCATCCTCTTTCTGCCTTGGAGTCGGCTAATCATGGAATGAAACTATGAGTCAAAATAAACCTCTCCTCTTTCAAGTTGTGGGTGTCAGGTACTGTGTCCCAGCAACAGGAAGGCAAGTAAGACAAAGGGTGAATTTGCATTATGCCTCAATAAATCTGATTATTAAAAGAGGTACAGTAAGTCCCCGACTTCTAACATTCCTGTTGTGAACTTTCACAGATAAAAACAGCTCTCATATTATAAACATTCATAGGTGTGAATGAATCAGTAGTTCACATGCCTGCTGGACAGAGTTGTGCTGTTGTGTGCTCACTGTACAGTAGAACAGTGTTCAGAGCACAAGATGTCCAGAAGCAAGAGGATGTGGAGGGGACTGCTAGCAAGTACAGAGCAATATATACAATATATTTGTAAGGTATGTAAGATTCACTTTGCAGGACTTATGAATGAATCAGATTTAAACGTTCTCCCAGAACAGGACTAGTTTATAAGTCAGGGACTCACTAT